TCTGCAGTGCAGACAATAATCAATCCAACAAGTGCACCACAGTGCAGACTCTGCACTGTGGTGCAGACATTTTCGGCAGTAGTGCAGACATCCGCAATTTTTGCACTGCGCTCAACCCCACCAAGCCCTTTTGAGTTGGCCCCCGTTTGTCCCCGCTGTCACGGTGCGTATGTCTCCTCAGCCGGTAGACAAGGGAGCTCTCAGGCCCGTGAAGGTAAAATGGTTTTCCTACGAGAGGCGCATCAGTGCCACTCATATCACATACACGTGAGGTAGAAAAAAACGACCGTCAAACATGCACATGACACCGCTGCCTCAAAAGGGCTTGTAAAGCCATGCCAGTACAATATGCGCACGAAAATGACACAAATGAGATAGCAGAAAAGGCTGTACTGTACTGTACAACTGTCTTGCAAGTCCAAATTGTTTCCTGGTACCCTCACCACTACCGTGTATGGCACATCAACAGAACTGGGTCTCCGTTGCTGTACGGTACAATTTACCCATGCATTTTTCGACGACTGGATCTATGTGTATTTTTATGCGTACTGAACAAACGCAGGAAGGTGACCCCATACAAAAAGTGCTAGCCTGGCCAAGCAATAACGAGCACTGTCGAGGAACACCAGAAAAGAAGAATTCTTTCACAACGCCACTTCTCCAAGGGTCTTGGACACGACGCCTACATTGCATAACCAGAACAGGGGCGCATTTATCGTGTATTGTTCTTCTTATTCAAAAAAGAAACTTCGTTGGCAAGCCTTCCCCCTTCCCTCTACATCATGTTCATGTCCCTGGAGTTCATACTGCCCTTTAGCACGCCAATTTGGAACGTGATCCGACTCATTGGTTTGGCTATCCTTGTCGATGTGCTCATTGCTGTGGTGCTACAAAAAGCTTCATCAAGGATTAATGGCTTCATGGCACGAAAAGGAAGACGGGTGGCATTGGGTACGACACGGACTGGTAGGCTGACCCAACTACCCGGAATAGACCGAAACGCGACATGGATACGTCTATGCTTCTGGGGGGCAGCAGTGACCCTGCTTGGCCTAGCCGTTATGGCAGAATTTGGTAGCGCCGAAAAGGATGTAGAACTGGACACTGAAGTCGAGCTGGGAAGCATATTCGAGGCTGCAAAGGGGAAAGTTCTATCTGTGAATTTACACGCCGAAGACGAAGATCGGAATAAAGGTGGAGGTATTAGGCTGTTTGGTCAAGTGTTTGAGGTGACGGGCTCGTCACTGAGAAACTCGTCTATAGATCACGAAGCCCCACTCATCGAGTCAGGACAAAAAAAGCGTTGGCTAGGTAAACGACGTGTCATTGGCGGTTTTACGGCAATGAACTGTCTACAACGGGTGCATGTCAAGGCCATGGAAACAGGAATAGAATTTGAGAGGGAAACGGCATCAAAAGGACGTACGATTGAGATAATAGCCGCCGCAGTACCCTTTAACTGGTCTAACTGTGACAAGGAGGGAATCAAACGACAATTAGGGCAATTGGAAAACCATACCGAGGTCCACAAATTGCTTTCTGTCCTTTCTGATATGGCACTTGGAGCAGGATGGAACTCTGCAGTAGGCCTAAACATGACGAGAAGAAAAGTAATAGAGGAAATTCCCGTACGGGTTGGGAGCAACTATAATGGTGGCTTAAATCCGGGTCGATTTGTTCTTCGGGGCTGGGCAGATATTCAACACTTGCTCTTTCGTGCGCTTGCCGGTTCCGAAAATGTTAGGGTGTTCATAGAACCGGACCTCCTACGCCTACCTCCTCAGCGAGCTGAACGGCAGATGGAGCGGTTGCCGGTCCGGCAGGGCAGAGTAGGAAACACGCAGATCGAATTTGGTTTGCCTTCTCAATACTTGCAGTTTAAGAGCGTGGAATGGCATGGTAGCGTATCAGTCAGTGCCGGATCCATTTCTGAACTCGTGCATATGTACATTACTGATCGAGGAGAATGCGCCATGGGTCACTTCGTGTGTTCGTGTCGGCTAACGTTTGAGAACGAAACGTATCAAATCATCCAAGGATGGGCACCCAAAGTGAAAGAGACTGAATTTCGTATGATTCGGACGGTAAACTTGACACGATTTGCTCGCGAATTTTTGGAAGAAGCAAAAGACACGATGGTCTACATGTCTCTCTACAAGACTTTGCCGGTTAAGAGCCTACGAGTCAGTGGATCGCGGCCTCAAATTTTCTCATTGGATGCTGCTGACGAAGCATCAAGTATCAAGAGTTTCCCAGTACTCCCCCTAGACAGAAGCTTGTCTCCGAAGATCGGGATGGGATATGGGGTGCGGAAGACAGCACGAGCGGCGATAAATGTGTGGTTCATTGCCTCTGCCGCCGGCTACGCCATGCTTTTGATGTTTTTTCTTTTAGTTTGCCTCTTTCTTAGAAACGAACTAGACATCGACGTCGTCACTTCGTTGGTGCGCACACAGAACGAGCTCCTCCAAGCGCCCATAGATTGCAAGTTGGCAAGCCGACGCCCTCTGGAAATCGGAATATTTCAGCCAGAATGGTCGAACGGGGAACTCCACCTAGGAACACTTGGGGAAAATGACAAGCCTGTCCAAGCACCTGACTTAAGCTTGGTTCACTCGATGCCACGCTTAAGGAGGGGGCAATCTAAGTCTGTTTATACGGTCTAGCTAGTTTCGCCATCCTCATCTCAATGCGTCTTGTAAATATATGTGAATAGTGCACATGGTGTGGTAAGTATGGCGATTCCCCTTGCATCGAAGATACGAAAACGTGCCCCGTAGCAGCACAAGTGCGACAACGGATGGCCATTCCGCACCGCATTAGATCACTGTTCAACTTTCGTGTTTTGGACAACACCAAACTTGAACAACTGACCACTACTTATTTCATGAGAGCGGGGAAGGCGCTACTGCAGTAAACAGTATTATGGTCAGACCGTAACTGAACAAACCTGTTGGAAAATTGGACTTGGGGCTCTTTGTATCGCCCAAAGGTGCTACAGTACGAAGGTACACGAATTGGCCCTTGGCACAAAACTCGTGCTGGCAATTCAGAAGCATTGCTGAAGGCATGGTTGTTTCACGCATCATCGGCGCTCCAAACCCGCTCCCTTCCTCGGCACGTTTCGCCGCGCACCACAAGTGTCCCGACGCGCTCCTCCCCGTCTGCAGCGCGTCTCTCTCAATCTTGCACGCGGCCGCAACTGCGCCTCTCACGCGGCCTCGTGCGGGCCGTGGGCCACTCGCGCCCGAGCAAGAAGGTGGCCGCCGTGAAGGGGGCTGCGGCGCGCGGGGCCCTCACTGAAGGCAACTCTGCCGACGAGGTGGGCATTGGGCACAGAGCTGGACGAGCCCAGGGGCATGACCCGCGCGATACGGTGCGGCGGAGGGGGCGTACACCGCATCCGTGGCGCCGGCGAGCGGGCCGGTGGAAATTATGAAACATTTCCAAGTCGGCGCGCGAGGGAGACTGCGACATCGGCTGGAAACAAAGTCACTGCAGGGTGGCGTGGGGGCGCGGCTACGCGACGCGGGGAGCTGCTAACGCCGCAGCACCAGGAGTTTTTGGGGATGGAGGAACTATGGTCGGGGCTGGACTTTTCCTGCTCTGGCATGCTCAAGCTCGGCGCAAAGGCGGGGCGCCCGAACGCGCATGATCGTGTGTACCTGTTCGGAGCAGAGGGGGAGCTGGTGACAGAATGGGTGGTGACCTGGCCTTTGTCAGCATGAGTGCTGTTGAAGAAGTGCCGATGGCGCAGATTCCGGCTGGCGATGGAGGTAATTCAGGTGCTCGACGGAAATGAGGTACGCCCAGTGAAGGACGCCGGGAGGTCGCGTTTAACATGACTGCTTAGCACAAACAGTTCAGCAGCTCGTACCGATTTCGGGTACTATGAGTGATGCTATTCATGAGAGTCCGTATGCTCACAGACACAGCTAGTCTACCCCTAACTTGTACCACATGGACGTAGCACCGAGAGGGGGAGGTGATGGGAGGGAGGCGCGGAGGGATAAGAGTTTATGTTAGGGGCTCATTTGTGGAGTGTGTCTGCAGCCTTGGGCGAAAAAGAGGGATTGTGGCCATCCGCACATACAGTAGAGGGAGGTAACGGTGCGGGTGCCATCTCGTCTGGGGGGCTGACTGGGTTTACCTCCTGGGGCGGAGTGAGGACGGGTGGCGACTCTTGAGGCGGGGCCAGGTCGTCAAGAGGAGTGCGAGAGGAGGGCGGTGCGTGGCCGCGAGAGGGTGCACAAACGCAGTAGGAGCGTGCTGTTGGATGTCATTGGAGGCGGCGTCTGTAGCGGCGGCGCCTGTAGCGGCGGCGTCAACGGTGGCGGCCAGAGCAGAATTGGCGAGTGTCCGGGCGGTGCTTGCAGCGAAGCAGGCAGCGAGGGGAGCGTTTGGTAGAATGGCGCCAACCTGAGGCATGAGAACCAAAGTTGCGATTGGGCGAACTGAAGAAGTCAATACGGTCCACAGTGTGCAGTGTGTTTCGGGTGAATGGGAAAGGCTTGAGATGCATTTTGGCAGTCCAAGATGAGGGGGTGTGTCCTCATGAAGCAGCGGAACATTGGATCGAGATTCGATACGAGTTTGAAAACTCGCTGCAATCCTTTACCCCCATGAGTGCAGAAAGGCATAGTTGCGCCTAAGCAAGTTGTAAATAAAGTCGTGGGCAGGCGCCCACTACAGTGTACCGTATCTACAACGTGCTTCTTCGGCTTCATTGTTGACATTTTATATTTTCACGCACCACCCAGATGGGCATGACGAGACATGACATGCGATGAGATCTACAGTACTCCCAGTTCTTTTTAGGGTCATTCTGAGATTGGGAGGGGGACAAGGTCAAAATCTTTCGGTGTCAGGGGGGGACACATGATATTGTACAGTATCGATACAGTGCCCCTCCTTCGTGCCAAGCAGGCCGCTGCTTGGCACGAAGGAGGGGCACGAAGGAGGAGGGGAACGGAAAGGAGGAGGGGAACGGCAGCGAAACAATGTCTCGAGATAAACCAATTCCTAATGGCGTCACAAGTCTCGATCGGGGCCGCTCTGCAACTTCTTACTTCGTATGTCACATTGCCATAGCGAACTGTGCCTTTTGCAATGCGCTTGCGCTCTTCTTCTCGCAAGACATCCATGTGCGCCCCTTGCAATGCTCGATGTGCTTTTCACCCAACACGCGCTCCTATTCCCTGCCACAGCTCTCAACCGACATCTTTCCTCTCTCCGTTCTCCCGACGACTTTCTCTCCTCGCAAACCCTATTCGCGGTCTTACAAAGGCGTCTTCTTCGGCACCCCCGGCAACCTCGGAAACGCCCGTGGCGTTGCCTTCACCTTTCTTACGGCCACAATACACTTCTTCCTTCCGTCAACCTCTTCCGCCTCTTCCCCCTGCCCCTGCATCCACTTCTACGGCCACGCCTCGCGCACACTTTCTAGCTTCCCGCCCAGCCTTCTGACGGCCTCCTTCGCGGCGGCGATCTCCTCAGCGCCCGCGCCCACGCTCTTCTGCGCGAATAACACGCCCCCCACCTTTGCCAGCAGCACGCACAGTTCGCAGCAACCACGCATTTCCGCCAACGACCGTGCCACGACCGCGTCATACCGCCCCCGATGCATCTTACTCTGCCCGACCTCTTCTGCCCTCCGCCACACGGACGTGACGTTGCCCAGGGCCAGCTCGCGTCCCACGATGTCGTGGAAGCGCGTCTTCTTGCGCGCGGCCTCGAGCAGCGTGACGTCCCACTGCGGCCTCGCGATGGCCAGGACGAGGCCCGGGAACCCCGCGCCCGTGCCGACATCGACGACGCGTAGCCCGGTAGCCGCGGCCGCGGCCGCGGCCTCCGCGTCCAGCGCCGGCAGCAGGCAAAGCCCGTCCATGACGTGCTTAAGCAGCACGGCGTCGCGCGTGCGGATCGCCGTGAGGTTGTACCGCTTGCTCTCGCTGAGCAGCAGATCCGTGAGCCGCACGAGGGTGTTGAGCCGCGCCACGTCCAGGCCCTGCGCGTGGGCGGCGCGGCGCGGCACCGCGTGCGTGGTGGTGATGTTTTGCTGCGTCGCGCAGCCGCGCAGCGCCACGCGCCGCAGCGGCCGCGGCCCGGCATGCGGATGGCAGCACGTGACGCGCGCACCGAGTCGGCGGCGAGACGGCGAAAGCGATGCGGCAGGCGGTGAGCCACGGAGCCATGCAGACGGAGCTGTCGGAGGCCGACTGAGGGATGGGCTAAACTGGGCGACCGATGGATTCTGGTAAGGGGGTGAGGAAGGTCGCCTACTTTTCTTTTAATGGAAACGGAGTACCGTTAGAGTACAGATGAGTGTTTTCGATTAACACCGAGTCGACGGTGGCCACAGGTGCCGGAGACTCGCCCGCAACTCTGCAGTCCCGCGCCGTCCTCATCTTTCTCTGTCTTCCTCCCCGGCCGAAGGAGGAAGCCATCGCGGCGATGACGAATGCACTACTGTACACGTGTTACTGTTGTCCAATATAATTATAATAATTACACCCAAAACAATTACACCAAAAATGTGTTACATTACGCCGCCTATCCATGTGGTACTGTACCTCCCCCGCCACTGCCCTCGCCTCCCATCCCGCCCCCGCCTTCTTCGGTGAGAAGGCGGCGAGGGTGAGTGAGAACTTCTCACTCACCCTCGTCCCGCGTACTGCCGTCTGATCTGTCCCGCTGCAACGCCGCAAGTTGGGCTACCGCCTCCGCGTTTTTGTCTTCCTCGACCGCCATCTCGTACAACTGTATCGCCCGATCCGTATCGCGGGCCACCCCGTCCGCCCCCGTCCCGCATCATGTTTCCAAGACACACCATTGACTTGCTCTGCTTCCGTTCCTTGGTGTCCATCTCAAACAGCTCCACCGCACGCACCGAATTGCGCTCCACCCCTTCCGCTCCGTCCCTCAACGTCATCGCAAGATTACAAGTCGCGTTACCGGAATTTCCTTTCGCCATTGCGCGATCATACAATGCCACAGCGCGCACCGCGTCACGCTCTACTCCTTCGGCACCTTCTTCGAGCAAAACACCGAGGTTCACCATGGCATTGACGTCCTCACCCTTCTCGATAGCGCGCTCGTACAGCTCCATAGATCGCACCGCATCACGCTCTACTCCTTCGGCACCTTCTTCGAGCAAAACACCGAGCAACACCATCGCACTGACGTCGTCACCCTTCTCGATAGCGTGCTCATACAGCTCCAAAGATCGCACCGCGTTACGCTCTACTCCTTCGGCACCTTGTTTCAGCAAAATGGCGAGGTTCACCATCGCCGTACAGCTTTCGTGCTCTTCGACCGCAGTTTCGTATAGAAGTTTCGCTTGTCGAGCATCACGACCCACCCCTCGTGCCCCTCGCGCGAAAAGAAGTCCAAGGCGAATCATGGCTTTTGCGCTTGAATTCGCACCCTGACTTCCTGCATTTTGTCTCTCCCACGCACTAGTAAACCGAGGAGCCCCCTGTCCGGCAGTACCCAGCACAATCCAAATTCTTTCTCTTGAAAACAACGTCGCGTATTCGCTCATCATGCGTTCCAGCAAAGCCTTGCCAACAAGATTATACGTCATAATGTCACACTCGGTCACCTCTCCTTCAGAGAAAAAGGCCTCCTTTCCAACACCATCGCCTTTCGCTTCCCCCGACTTCACATCCCCGCCATTTCTAACGCCCAAGTCCGAAAACTTGGCAAGATTGTCCAACTGAATCCATTTCTGGGAACACACAATCGCTTTTCGTATCCATGCATGATATTTTCGAACGCTTCTGGCCGCGTCCAAGTCAATCGCATCATCGAGCGCTTGTACGAACAAATCCACGATCATTCCATCAAAACTCTGCTCCAACGCTAGCTTCGCAAACAAATCAAACAGCTGCTCAAACCCATCGTCACCGCTTGTTGACGTAGATGTCAAGCTTGTATGCAACTTGGTATGAAAGAACGCTTTGATCATTTGCGCCGCTTGTCTTGAGTTCGATGTCCTCCTCGCATACATCATTGTCAACCCCGAATCAGACAGAATTCTCACACATCTGCACAGGGCGCCAATGTCATTCCTCTCCAATTTCGCTATCTTGAGCAGAAAAATGGCCCTCCCGAAATTTTCATGTCCTCTGCCAATCAGATTCTCCGCCTTACGAATCAAGTCCTTGGGGTCTTCAGTCTGGTTCGACATCGCCGTGCCACTTTCCACAACCCTCGTGCCTCGTGCCTTCTGTAAGTAGTGCTTCTCTCACAATGAGACACCCATCACGGATCGACTCACGCTTTGCTTCTGCATACCCGACAGAGCATCTCCTTCCCACGACATGGTCAACACCGATAGTCAGGTCCTTGTTATTCACAACAAGAGACCCAGGCTGCCGTGTCACGGCAAACTCTGTACAAGGGGGTAGCCCCACAAGTTGAACAAATCAAAGATTTTAAAAACATAATATCTTTTAGACGTCCGTTTTGAACAAGATTTGAATTTTCTTGAAGCGTGGCGACATATTGTCAAGCCTCAAAACCGGTATGGAGAAACAATGGTCTCAATGCGAAAAGAAGCGAATGTGAATGAACAACAAGTTGCCAGTTCTGAGGCCCCCCTAATCTGAACAGCCAATTTATTGGCTACTGCAAAAAACATGCAAATTTTTATTTTGAATTTCGATCCCCACTGCGGCAACAGTTAACCTATCAACTGATTCACAGCCTCCACACAACGGCGATTGTTTCTTTCTGTTGTCCGACGTTTCGCCACCATGCGGCGCTCCAACATCGGCCGTGGCAGCATGCCTTCCACTCCATAAACAAGAACCCGGAAATTCATTGCTTTGCGTTCCAAACGTAGTCGCTCTCGCCTTAATCTTTCACAAGCGATGGCTTCGCGCTCTGCTTTGTCGGCCTCCTTTCTTGCTAGTTCTGCCTTTCTGGCTTTGTCCACCGCATCCTTTGCCTTGGCTTTTTTTAAAGCGTCTTCAGACGTGAGACATAAGCCAAATGTAGTATCCAGGAACCCGTTCTTTAACACCACAGGCTGCAAACCGATATTCTTCCTCCGCTTCTCCCGCTTATCTTCCAATATTTTCTCAATATCAACTGAAGAGATCAATTCATTTAAGTGGGAAAAAGACCTTGGCCGCGGCACACTGAAGACGTGCGAGAGGTTGGCAGGGTATATACCTGCCTTCGCGAAACCAGAGGCAATGGTGCTTCTCGTAAAAGTCATGCTGTATGCCTGTTTTACAAGCATCAGAAAATCAAACCGGTCGTAGACATTGTCCTTCGTGTGACTTGATAGGCTCTCAACAAGATCTCGAAGCTTGTTTTTAAATACGGCGAACACAGAAACATCCAACAGTTGTGTAATACCGCTAGTGTGCGCCGGAAAAGCGTACACGATGACTCCAGCATCGTGAAAAAACTGCATTGTCCTGTACCTCATGTGGATCCTGTAACCGTCAAGCAATAAAAGTGTCTTGCCACTGCTCAATCTTATTTTGTTGTCATCCACAAACACACGCGCCTATTCATAAAAATTTTGAGAGTCCACGCCTGCAATGTCTTCACGACAAGTGATAACGCTACCGGTTGGGAGACAATCTGCAATTGTCTCCACTCGCTCTCCTGCTGCAGACTTTGTCACACGATAATTAAGCGACTTGCCTTTTACGACAAACAAAGGCCTTCCAACGCAACCACTCGCAAAAACTACTACAGGCATAATTGTTAACCTTTCAATGTTTTGGAACTCAGGAGAACGCTGAAGAGAGCACCCTAGTTTAGAAGATTTTGTTACGTATGCCTTCTTGTGGCTGGATTTCAAACTATCACGGTTGGGGATATGCCAGTCTCGTCAAGATTGGCAATATGATATTAATCCATCCTGTTGTCTGCGATGAGCTTGTGCACCTCAATTAAATGGGATGTGAGGACATCTGCGCTGCCTGCCCTCCAGCGCAACTCCTCCTCCTTCGAACAGCATCTGAGGCGGATGCGATCGCTATGGAGAGCACAAAAATTGCGGAAGATTTTTTTTCTAGGTCTGTTGTTTACGAAGGGTGGTTTTGCTCGGTGATCTGCAGGAAACGACGCGACGAGAATCTCGACTGCATCACCGATATACTCATTGCTGAGAGGAAAGCCTGTAGTGCAATGTGCCTGGCAGGCCGCGAACACAGTCCGACGGTCAAACAAAAAGAAGAAAAACAGCAACAGCAACAACCACTGCCGACGGCACGCGCTACGGAGCGTTAGAGACTCCCTTTCCCCTTGTGTGGGCTTGCGGCCGACGGTAGCTCGACTCCGACGGGAGGGTTAAGGAAAGATACCCGGCCCGGGAGGATAATGGTGGTAGAGACTTGTGAAGACTTGAGTGGTCGGCGAGTGCGGGTTGGGCTTTTGTACGAGAATGTAACCGCGGTTCGCTGGGTTGTAAGGCCAATGCTCGACGAGCGTCTTCAGCACCTTGCGTATAATTCAAGGTCTTCGACGGGGGCTTGTTCAGCACTACCCGACGGGATCGTGACCGTGTAGCAACGCTACTACCGACGTGTTACCCGATGGCAAAAAACACCCTCACCAGCGCGATCGTGATCGCGCTAGGCGGTTCCAACTCTGTCTTATACAGTAACACCTTCGACGGAGGCGTCGTTACAACAGCCTTCCGATGGAACTTGAAACAGTAGCAGCGTTACACAACGTGTTACCCGATGGCGAACACACCTACACCGGATCGGTCGCAACCGACTCCAATGGAACCAACACAATTAAGGGAAAATGGATGTAGAAATAGAAAAGGTAAAAGGATAAGGAAAACGAATGGGACCCACAGCAATAGAGGATGTCGTTAGCAGCGTAGAAGTGAAGCGCGTCGCGTGAACGGAAGCGGTCTTCGACGAAGGCGAGATCTAACTCCGGCAACTCGGGTTACCTTTACTGACTTGGTGGTCAGAGGGCTAAGGTATATATCGCCCCGCCGGAGTCACTACAGTAGCTCTCGGCGCTAGATCCTAGATCTAATCTAATGTCAGCAAAATTAATGCCAACTAATTAACTAAATAAAATTAAATAATTAAAAATTGAAACTGTGCAATTATTCACACGTGTGTCCCCCAACCCGGACTACTTTTCATACCCAAATATTTTCCTTTCTTTTCGCCCCCCTTTTCAGGTGCGTTTTGTACTACATATCCCCCTTCTGAGCGCTCTTGTACGCCGCTCCGCCATCGTATAATCTCCTCGCCGTTTCTCTCATAACCCT